GCTGTCTGCAAGAGACTCACTTCAGATTGAAAGACACACAGAGACTGAAAGTAAAGGGATGGGAAAAGATATTTCATGAAAATGGAAATGAGAAAAAAAAAAACAACATAAAAAACCCTGGGGTAGCAGTACTTATACCAGACAAAATAGACTTAAAACAAAGGCTATAACAAAAGACAGGGAAGGACCCAATAATCTCACTTATGGATGTTTATTCTAAGAAACCGTAAAAGCTACTTTGGGGGAACATGAGGATCCTTATGTTCATTGCAACACAGTTTACAATGGCCAAGACATGGAGGCAGCCTGGGTGTCCATCGATAGATGAATGGACAAAGAGAAGGTGGTAGATACATATACAATGGAATATTGCTCAGCCATGGAAGGGTTCTTGTCATCTGCAGCAGCATGGATAGACCTGGAGGGTATTGTGCTGCATGGAGTATGTCAGAAAGAGAAAGACAGTTGCAATGTGATTTTGCTTATGTGTGGAATCTAAAGAATAAAATAAACAAAACAGAAGGAAACTCAAAGTTACAGAGAACATAGATACAGAAAACAGAAAGAAACTCATAGATACAGAGAACATTTTGAAACTCATAGATACAGGTTGCCAGATAAGAGGGGGTTTGGGGTGGGTGATAAAGGGAAAGGGATTAAGAAGTACAAGTTGGTTGTTACAAAGTAATCATGGGGATGTAAAGTGAAGCATAGTGAATATAGTCAATAATATGGTAATAACTATGTATAGTGCCAGGTGGGTACTAGTCTAGTCTGTGAAATCACTTCTTAAATTATATAAATGTCTAACCACTATGCTGTACACCTGAAATTAATATAAAGTAATATTGAATATCACCTGTAATTGAAAAAATTTAAAAGATGAAGGGGAATAAGAGGTTCAAATCTCCAGGTATAAACAAATAAGTCATGGGGATGTAGTGTACAGCATGGGGAATATAGTCGATAATATTGTGATAGCATGGTACAGTGTCAGGTGGTTGCTGGATTTATCATGGTGATCACTTCTTTAGGTATATAAATGTGGAATAATTATTCTATACACCTGAAACTAATTAAATGTTGTATGTTAGCTATATTTTAATAAACACTTTTAAA